AAAAAAAAAAAACACAAATTTCATGCGACTTTCGAAAGTTTGTTTTTTTCTCAGACAAAAAAAAAATGAAGAAAAGACTGGTATGCAAACCTTCGGAACTGCTTCGGTAGCACCACCGTCCAGAAGGTGTCTCTGTACCTGGAAAAATTCAAAATCTTACAATGACGTACTTTAACAGCCTATGTGTTAATTGTAAATATCAATCCCTTCCTCTCCCTCTTCCCACACAGCGCCCTTATAATTTAAATGAAAAGTAGCACTACGTTACTTTTGCGAGAGCATCATAATGAAATCTGAAATTTACTGGAAACCAAGGCAATCGTCAAAATCAAATCTCTCCCGTTATATGAGCCCTTTATACTCTCCAAATGTGGAAAAAACAAGAATCAACAAACTGTAACCTAGAAGACATGATACAATAGAGGATGAAAGTGATGGATGAATTGAGCAATGAAAGCAGGTCGAGAATGTCGCCAAGGTTGAAATAAATATAAATATGCACATGAGTAGTGTAAACGGCATTCAGGATTGCAATAATTCCTTGTGGCAGCTCGGCAATCAGAAATACTAATACAATAGCGAGTAGAAGGGCAGACGTACGATCCGGATTATTTCCTTGTCTGAAACATCATACTCCTTCACTATTCATAAGAAGACCTTACAGGTGTGGACGCTTCAATCTGAATTGTACTGCACATTGAGCTGATTCGGTTTCATGCATAAATAATCCTAATCAACGAACCTTTTTGAGCATGTTGAGCTGCTTTTCCTCAATAGCATTTTGCGCTTCATGGTTGTTCGGTGTATTTTAAGCATGAGACCGAGTGAAAAATATAGCAACAACATACATGGAATTACCTGAATTTGTAAAACGAAGTTGCTTTAAATCAGTTAAATAAAAAATGAGAGTAGAATTTTTTTCGAGTTGTTGAAATGGTCAAAACAAAAGAACTATCACTTTTTTGGCGTAAAATTCAAAATTATTATCAGAAAATCACCTCTTAGCTAAAAATTTCAAACTCAAAGTCCTTTTCATAACTTACTTTACAGGAAAGACACAGAGATTTAAAAATGTCTCGTTTTACGGTACCTACCAACACTTGCCGGTGGGCAAGATTTACTGGCACTCCCACTCGTAAGTTGAGTGGAAGCAATCGGATCATGGTAGTCCCAAAAAAATTTATAAAAAAACGTTTCAGGAAGACTAGAAAGCGTTTCAGTCGTAATTTATTTAAAAATGTGATTCTTTTTGGACAATAAATTACCTTAAAAATAACTCCAGACATCCATAAGTTTAATTTGAAGAATCGACATCCATTAGCTGTTGCCGACCGCGATATCTGAAGGAGAAAACATTCAAAACCGCCATCAATTAGCTGTAAAAATTTGCGAAAAAAAAAACTTTTTTGCTGGCATTATTGTTATTGTAAAAAAGAATTATCGAGTGCTGACACCTACTTTTCACTGTTTTGAATTTTCAAAGTCGAAACTGGGTGAAAATTTTTCCGGGAAAGAGTAGCGTTTTGGCTTGTTTTGCTGAAGCTCAAGTAGGACGGCACAAATCGGATAGAAAATTATACTACTATGACCGAACAAAAGTATGTAGCTCCTGCGCAAATCACTGAAATTTTGCTTGCGGATAAGCATGAATTTATTCGATCGAAGCCGACTGACTAAAAAACAACAAACATGCTCAAATTCCCAATTAACTTTTTCTAAAATCTAAACCCGAAGAATTTTCAACTCTTGGAGAAGTGAAAAATCTTACCAGAAAGGTATAGTATTTGGCCGTATAATTAACTGGGAAATTATGGGCGCAATGCGATGCGGGACGCCAGTCACCAATTTCCACAACATCATACACAAGCAATGTTGGTATACATAGTACGAACACACATACGTACACCACGGTGCATACCCTCCAAGCCGTTCGGGGCTGCTGCCAATTACTAAATATCGTTCACTTTCAATATAAATATTACTTATTTCATTAAATCGACGATAAATCTTCATAACACTTACATCCTAGATACTCGAATAGTCGATACGAAGAAGAAGTCAAAACCCTTCTGTATTAACACTTCGTGGAGAGCCAGAAGCAATCAGCTGCCCACAACTTGTCAACGACTTTTTCTTTCGAGAGTTAATTAGAAACAAGCTTCCAAAGTTCCAACTTTATTGCACGCACTAACAGTATTTTACCAGCAAAGTAAATTTGGATATTGTAGAGGCTTCTTAACTAAATCGAACCATCGAAGCTTACTGGTGAAACCAAACCATCGACTTCAGCCCAAAAGTACATCAAACTCACTAGCCTGCTCAGAAGATATTGCTAGAGATACCAGGAGTTCAACTTTAGGTTGCTACTGGATTACTTAGTAGGCTGGAAAATCAAGTCAGTCTAATTTTCAAGCAGTACTCGGAAAGTACGACAAATAACACCCCTGAATGTTGTTCTCCTCATGAAAGTGTTACCAGTTAAACCACTAAATACATTCTCCTCTGCTGTATTCAAAAGTAAGCAAACGGTGTGAATCTCTGAAGCATTAGCCGGGCGGTCATAAATAGAATGCAATATTAACATTGCAAATTAAAATAACCTAGGTGACAACGCGCCAGACTAGCCGGTACGATCATGCGTTTTTGGATGATTCTATCCTGTAAAGAGATCGTTGTACTACTGGGATGTGATTGTGTTATTGCAGTTTGTACGTTTTGATTCGTCTTTGCGCAGGACCTGCGCCTAGGTAGTATTTCATCTTAGGCTCGGTGGCCCCCAAGAACAGCAGAGATCCTCAGAAAAAGAGCGTTTCCTGCTCAGTCTGGATACCGAAATAATTGGTTGCCAGCAACGTCCCAAATCAAACTTTCTTCTGCACGTACTTGAGATTTTGGCTGCTTTAAAGCTGAATATGAAATATTTCAGTCGCACATCAGTGCAGAACATCCTCGTTTCAACTCCCTGCATGAATGTTGGCAAAACCGCTTTTATTTACAATTATTTTTGGGGTATTCGAACGCAAAATACGCCAAAGCTCGCTTTATGCCTACTTACCTGCGTATGAACAACAAATGTTCTCATAAAGCTTAGTTCCCGAAATGTCTAGTTCTTGAACTGACACTTCACCAGCGATGACGAAATCTTAATTTGAACGTGTCCATACACCTGACACAGGCTTGAGCTAAAGCTGAATTTGAATTTTCTAGCTCACACAAGGACATATAACATCCTTGTGGACTTTCTGCTTCTTGACTTCTATAATTGCTGAATTGGGTGGCAAAAGTCCGAGCACATATACACACACACATATATATAACACACACCGGCAGTTTCTCGACAATAACAAATTTTCGTTTTTATGCTTTTTTGCCTAAATGCAAATTGCAAAAACGCATATTGGGACGACCCTGACTGTGTGTGTGTATGTTTGTGTGTGTGTGTGTGTGTGTTCGTCTGTCCGGGTATTTCAACTCGGCAGCCAAGCAAGTTTCA